TCTGAGATAAGTTTTTGCTAATAATGTTCTTTAATTTTTGTTGTGTATCAGTTTTAAGAGAACCCTCCAACCAGAAAAACCCTCACGTTTGCATTGTTTTCCCTGTCTCCCTCCTTTGTATCCTACCCCCACCCCCCCAAAAGAGACTGAGCTGTCCTGTTGCGCAGCATGCATGTTTGACCTGGTATTTCACTGGTTGAGCTCCTGTTAGGGTCAGGGCCTGCGTTTGGGGCACAGTGTTTGGTTGGGTGTCATTCAGCTCCTCTGGCACTGTGCTGCTCTCAATCATCCCCTCAGCAGAGGGGTCAGCGTCTGATTCCTCTCTGGCCCATATCTGACTCAGTGGGGCTCCAGACTCATCTGATCACCGGCCCAATCTCTCCCCTCTGGAGTGCGAATTTTCTGATTTACGCTTGCAAATTGTACATCTTCAGCAGTGTCAAAGCAGGAACACAATCTCTTTTGGGAATATATTTTCATCCACAGCTGAGGCTGAGTGTTCTCTGACTGAGCCGTGTGTCCCCAGGTATTTCAGTATTTCCCTTAAAGTGGGTTAGAGAAATAGAGATAAGAGGAGTGTTATGGTATGTATGAATTCATGTATGAGGATGCTGTTGGGAAAACCCAATGGAAACCAAATGTGTTCCCGTCATTCAACATGTGGTGGTCTGTTGGTTCTGATTTACATTTCAGTGAATCTCTGGCACCACATTTCCCTTCCTTTGCATCCCTGTGATGTTCCGTGACAATTAACATCCCAACTCTTTCTTGAGGTTTGTTGAAAGCTCAGGGGCTAATTCAAGGGTCAAGCAAGACTTGCAAGCTGTCAATCTTTTATTGTAACTTGAGGCCCCCCCCTCCCCCCCACACACACACTCATTTTCATTATTCTGGGTCCCCCCTTCATTCTCCCAGACCTCGTTTATTGAATGGCCCAAGTCTTCTTCTATTCTCCTGTGGTCCTCTAACAGCTAGAGACGGACAACCAGGAGCTTTGTCTAAGGAGCCCGGCATTCTTTCACATCTGCCTCTTGTTTTCAGACCCCCGCTGCATTCAAATTTCAAACTGTCCTTTTCAATCAACCCTCCTCCCCTCCCTTCTAATAACCCCCTTCCTCCCAGTTACTAAGCCTTTTTTTTCTTAAGAAGGCCAACTGAGCTCTGGCAATTCACAATTTTGTCACTCACTTGTCGATTATAAAGCATTCTGTTGTATTGCGAATATATCAAGCACACATATGTTTAAAGCCTTTGGGCCAACGCCCCTGTGGCTTCTCCATTTCTCAGGGTACTTAAACATCTGTCTGCAATGGCTTCATATTTAGCCCAAACAGCGCGATGCCTGTTGACATTTTAGCAATCTGTGCTTAACAATCACGCAAAATTGCCTTGATCGTGTCTCATGCATTAGAAGCAGCCATGTCGATGATGACGCTCTTCATCATATGTCCATGGAGTATAAACCCCAAACCCCAGCCCCAGAACACATTGTTGCAGATGCTAAAACCTGTTCTGAGATCACACCCAAGTCGAGGGCAATTTTTTAAAAAACAGTCAGGTATGATCACCGGTGGTTTCTGTTTCAAGACGGAGAGAGAAAAGAAACCCCCAGCTGAGAGGGGAGACCTCAGCACGTTTAATGAGGAGAACGGCAGTCAAGCAGTCTCTCTACACTGTCTACGCCTTTGGTGCCTCAGCATGTTTAACACTCACAGCATGATACAAAGTATATTAAAGTATCGGACTGTTATCATCGATTTACAGAACACCCATCTCCATGTACAAGGATCTACATTCTGCATTTTTTCATCGGGCCGGGGGGTCTCACCTGCCTTGGAGGCAAGACTGTTTAAAGGCGGTTTTGTCTTTGCATTCTGACACAAGTGGTCAGTTGAGCACACTTAACTCTTTTTTTCCCCCACTAAGCAATGATGACAGGGGAGCAAGAATAATCAAATTGGTTCAACACTGTTATCTCAGGCTGAGACTTAATAGTTTGTTTACGTATTTAAACACAAGCAACCACAGCCACCAAAGAGACAAATATACGGAAATGCACGCTTTTAACCTGTTCCAGATGTAATTAATGTTGTACTAAGATATATCATATTTATTTTGCAAAAGTGAGGAATAAAGTACTACCTTGAGTTAATAGTTTTGGGGTTAAGGAGCCAATGTGATTTGACAGAAGACCTTTACTGACGCGTTCTCCAGATAGATTTAAACACGTTTTGGGCACAGCACTTAGTCCACTATATTAATCTCAACTGAAATCAGTGTGTTTATGTGCACTCTATTCAGTTATAACCATAGTATGGTAATACAGCAATGATTGCAACTATCATGGAAAGACCTTTACCAGGTCATCTTACTTGCGTCAAGGTCATAAGCCGAGTAGGCATAGCATCAGTCTTTGAAATTGGACTTGGCACGTATATACTATAGTGTCTGCTTTTTGATTCTGCGCACGCACCACAGAGGTGACGGAATAAACCAGATGCATACTTGGACTGTATTTGATAAAAGAGTGACAAGGCTACGGATGTTGGGAAAATAAAACTCATTTTTTTTGAGTGACAGTGAAACGAATTTAATGCTACAACTACCACCTCAAGTGATAGAGCTTGTGTGAATATCCTCTGTAAATCAGCAAAAATGTCTCTCCATTATTATATTACTATTGTCTGTTTACTATTTAGATATTAAACAACTCATGTAAACTTACTGTATTATTACTGGGGAAACTGGCTTATTGTGAACCGTGTAAACACTTTAGTCAAACTGTTACTTTAATCAGAGTTTTCACAGTAAATGATTTTGTGCGTGACAATATAATGATGGAATGGGATTATCATCACTCCGATCTCCACACATGGAAATGTGTGCGTGATTTAAGTATTGTCTGTCTCGTTAAGTGGACAAAACAGTAAGAACTAAGACTTTGTGTGCACAGAGGAAGATCCTTAAGCCTATATGGTCACTATGCAGCTTTATTGTGGGGACAATCTGCTTAAGGACTTGTTATACTGTATTGGTAGCCACTTGCCTAATACATTTAATTGGTGCCACATGCACTGATCATCTAAAAGACATGGGTTAGGTTTTTTTTTGGAATCAAATATGGGGGTCTCTACTCTCACTAGGTCTCTCTGATCAACTTTCATTTGTCGAGTCTCATGGCTGCATATTATTCCACTGAAACTAAATACACTGTGGCTGCGTATACTCAGCTCCTGTTAACCTCTTTTAAATGGCTCTAAAATTAGAGGTCTCAGGTGAGGCGTAATGTCATACTAGATGAGCTGATTATGGCAGGCTTAATTATAACTTTGTTGGCTAATGTGTGAGCTCTACATGTTTTCTCGGTGATGAATTATTACACTGTCTGAGAACTCAGACAAAATAGATCAAAGACTCTTTGGGCCGTGGATATTCTCCAGTGTGGAGGAGCCAGCCGAAGCTGATTTGTGCAGCTCTGACTGTACATGACAAACAGAATTCCTCACCCTCTTTTCAGTTGAGTTCTCTTGTTAGATTCTAGTATGATGGGTAACATTCAGTCCCTTGAATCTTAACAAACAATTGCAGGCTGTAGACACAGGCAAAAAAATGGAATGTTGTTTTTGAATGTGCTTAAAAAGAAGAGAAAAAAACAGTTTCTAATGGGGTCCTATGTGCCTTGTTGCCAGAGTGATGCCATATCCCATGGTGAATGTGCTAATGGTTCATGGGAGTGAGAGGACTGAGCTTAGCCGAGCAGTGTAAACACACAGACAAAAGGGAGCCGTTAGTAGTGTGAAACGCATGCCTGGGCGCGCAGGTAGGCATTAGGTTTCACCCTACACAGCTCTGGCACTGTATCCATGACAGGGAGGAGGCCATTTGCTTTTGTAGCGAAAGAGAGCAAAAACAAACATTCAAACAGACTAGTACTAGAGGGACAGGTATGGATGAGACGGGGAGAGAGGTATTCTGGTTTAGGGAGATGTAAGGGAGAGGGAGGGGGAGGAGAGATAAGGTGGTTTGTGGTCACTCACAACAGAGAGAAGTGACCATTTGCTTGCTAGTGTTTTTTTATTTGTTTGTTTGGCTAGGGCGTGGGGGTGGAAAGAGCTGCAAAATATCAGTCAAATAGAAGTAATGTTTCTTTTGAACCGCTGCTTAAGTAGAATTGAAATGCCTGTAGCAGGAACTTCTACTTAAATAACTCACTGTGGCAAATTTAAAATGTCCTTGATTAAATGTGACTGAGCTACCTACATTGTTACACACGGTCTTTTCCACATTTAGTAAAATATGGGATGCTGGATGTTTAATTGGCCGTGTAGACTTAAAATAACTCCATGTTAAAATAAGCTCAGCATTCGACCAAACAATCCACCTCTTTAGTGTTTTTCTAACGTTTACTCAGACACCAACCAAGCTAATGTAAACCAAGATGATTATAGCAGGATTAAAGCTTTTTGGCTAATGTTCACCAAGCTATTACCATGGAAAGTTTTAGCATTTAATGCTGCTGTCAGTACAGTTGTAAAAATCTTACATAATTTATAGATTTCAAAGTGCTCAGAAAAGTATAAATATGTTTTTTGCAATAGGTACTGAAAATATAATTTGACACAGCACTGATAATGTTAGCATCACTTGCTATAGGTCCCATGGAGATGGGACAGGGTGGGTCTTATCTGTTTGATGACAGCGCTGGTCCCACCCCTTACACTCTCTGGCAGTTAAATGGTTTGCATTCATCTATCATTAAGAGATTTCCCTTCCCAGGATTATTGACCTTCTGGGCTTATTTTAGTGGCTTGCGTGGGTTTGTAGTATTTCACAGCTTAACGTTTGTCACATTTCTGCAGTGGAATGTAAATGCAGCATCAAGTGCCTTGTGATAAGAGTGTGACAGGGTGAATTCCTCTGTAAAATTACACTGGAACAGAGCTTGCACATGGAATAAATATCATCACTGAAGTGAACGTCTCTCTCTGTCTGCTCCACAGGTGAGAGGATCAATGATGAGCATCTCTGAGACCAGCTGGCTTGGACTTTTTTAATCAGAACCATTCAGTCACAGCACAATCCTGCCGCAAACCATCACCAGGAGCCATGGCATGCTCCCTGTGGAAACTACACACCTTCTGCTGGTTTCTCATCACACTAGCCCAAGTTCACTCCACAGAGGGTAAGTACATAAGAAAAAGTGGTTTTTGTTTTCCCTGAAAACTTACTGATCTGTTATCTTGCAAGTATTTTATAGTATCTTTTAAATTAGTGTTGTTTCAGGCTCAATGACAGACAATGCTAGAATATACTTTTTTTGCTATTGTCTTATTTAGCATGAGCAGTGAAATTGTTACTCAAGCCAGAGCTACTGCTCCTCTGAGTGCAGGCAGTGCTTGTGTAAGTAATGCAGCTCTGAGGACAGTGGGCACAGGCGGATGGGGGATAATCTTGAGTGGTTTCATTAGTTGGTAAATTGTGATTTGTCTGAGATTTTCTGCTTGAAAGCGCCAGTTGTTCCCAGTGGCATCAGAGCCGGATCCATTTGTAAATTCCTCGCTAAAATGTTCTGTCTCATGGCAGGCACACACAGATTTTACACCTCAAAAAATATAAAGCTTGAATGTGTTTTAATCATGGTGCATTTAGCTTTGATTAAATCACTCTCAGCTGTATCATATTTTCATGATTTATGCATCCAAACCATATCTCATAAACTGTATCCTTAACATGTTAGTGTTTAATCACAAGAGTAGAGGTGCATTACTTTTAGATGTTTAATGATTGGGTTTAGAATAAACCAAATTTGGCATATTTTCAGTACAGTATATCAAAAGAGCCATTACAGATTTGGTCCGCTGGTGCCAACTGTTGAAGCTGCCGCCAACTGTTCACTATACCTGCTTTATTGATTTTTCAAAAAGCTCAATATTGTAGGATTATTGATTCAAGTTTGGAAGGTAATGACTTCTCAAGATGCTTAATTTACACTGTAGCAAGTCACACTGCCACAGTATATGTTACCATATGTGTATCTCATGTATCATCTGGCTTGGATTTGATCTTCATATTAGAGGTGTGACATTTGAGAAGTGTGTGGTCTCTATACACTTTAGTGGAAACACAGAAAGTCACAGAAAACCCTTAAAAGTGTCTGTACAAAATCATAAGCATTCCATATATGTCGGCACTCTGACATATCATTTTAGAAACCTCATACAAAGATAAGAGTTTGCAATATATGTATTACACACACACACACACACACACACATATATATATGTTTATATATATGTATGTAAACTTATTTAGAGGGCTGGATAGATAGTCATCACCACAGTGAGTTTCTATCCCTGGTGGCCTCGCCTCTGGTTTCACCCGACGAGCCATAGAACTCAATTGACAGTGTTTGAAAGGCAGGAAGCCGGTGAGGGTTCCTAACGCTACAATACTTTATACATGTTGTGAGAGTCCTTGCTAACAGGTAACTCCATGTGATTTGGAGGTGAGGTTTGGAGGTGGTCTAAACCCTCCCCAGGCAAACAGAGAAAGCAGTGACTGTATTACATGCGGAAATGCTTATTCCATGTCAGGGTAAAGAGGGCCTAAATGCAAAAAAAGGAATAAACCCATTAATTGACGACATTTTTCATTCACCTTTTCCTCTTGTTGGGTCCCCTGCGCCCTCACCTCCTTCCCATTTCCCATCTCAGCCGCACAGATCAGCCCAGAAACAGTTCATTACAAACAATATCCCCAAGTAAACATGCTTCATTAAACTGCGTCTACCCCTAATATCTTTTTAATGCATTTTTATAATTGAATTAAATGGGTTAGTGGAATTCTGTAAATAGTTCAAAGTTAGTTTTTATTTCCTCTTTGTTTTTTTTGTTTTTTTTGCTTTTGAAAGAAGAGATATACACAAGATTGAAACTATAGCTGTCAGGGGTTGTGTTCCTCTCTGACCTCCTTCTATACATGTCTCATCCTTCGCATTTGACTCTATCTATTGGACTCAAGTATATATGTCTGTGATCTGTATTTGTTCAGATGACTCACAGCCATTTGGAGGCTTTGATCTGCCATTTTCCTTCTTTTATTTAAATCTTAACCCTGGAAAATTGCTTGTATACATCCACAAGCCCAGCAGTCCTGTCAGTGAGATGGGTTTCTGAAACTGATTTGGCTTATTATTTTAATTATGCCATATAAGTATACACTCTCTCTCTCTCTCTCTCTCTCTCTCTCTCTCTCTCTCTATATATATATATATATATATATATATATATATATATATATATATATGTGTGTGTGTATATAGTGTAATAGATATCAAAGGAACCCTGGAGCCTAGAGCTTTTGAACCTAATGATATGGTTATGGTTATTATCACTATGTTATATTCTGCTGTATTTTATTAGGGTCATTAAAAAAGGTAACTAGCACTGTGGAGATATTTTTCCCTCCGTCCCTTTTTTGAACAGCTGCTTTAAGTGCAGTATTGTCTACGGTATAACTGCTGAGATTGAAATAATTATTTTGTTTTAAGACAGGAAATTTTATACTTTGTGACTGTTTGACAGTTCTGGAACATAAATTTGAGACAGTGCTCTTGCAGTATGTCCATGATCCTATAAACACCCCAGAGGGCCTTGTTGTGACACAGATACTATAATGAATATCAATATCAGTATGGATATAATTATATGAGACTATCATTATATCATCTGGGCTTTTGGTTATAACATAGAACTCAAACGTTTCCCCACTTTTAAAAGGTCATCAAAGCTGCCGTGTCATATTTTATTTTTTTTATATTTCTCATTTTTGTGAAGGGTTCAAAGTAAAATTAGTGAGCTGAGTTATATTTAATACCCCAACACAACATTTATTATGTCATTTCTAACACAGGTGATCATTTTAAAGTAGGGGAGATAGGTCAGGAAGTAAAGGATAGCTAAAGCTGTCACTTTAATCCGCATGCTTTACTTTGACCTGCTTTGATATTGTTTTGCATCAACATCAGTTTGCCCTCTGGCATTCAGAGTGATCTTCTTTGAAGCACCAGGTTTATTTCTTTTTGTCCTACTGGTGTCCTCTGCAGATGTCACCATAGCAACCCACCAGAAATGAGGTGGTGGTGTAATTTATGAAGTAATAATGTTGTTGTTTTTTTTGTAAAATGTAAAAACAGTTTTCCCTTGCAACACGTGGTTAAATCCGCTCACGTGTCTTCCAAAATAATTTAGTCAAGTCTGGTGGGGTTGAAAGGATTTGTCTGTGTCAGCGACAGAATAACAATTCACACCAAGCTCAGCCACACGTTCTCTTCAAAGGCTTTCCCAAAGATTGTTGAGAATTATGGTGAGATAGAAATTAGAGAGCAGAGCAAGGATTCTGTGTCAGGAGGTAGGGAGGGCGAAGGTTGAAACATGTAGGACAGGGTGGCAAGAATATATCAGGAGATAATATGTCTGACTACATTTCTGTGGTATTTGTTTTGATTCATCTCACCATATTGTGATCAACTTTACTGTTTGGAAACAAGCTGATAAATAATAACTACAGTACTGACATAGTGGATGATTTATTGGAATTTTGATTTGTCATTTGAAGAGTGTAACAATGATTTAACACCATTTTTTTCTCTAGATTGCATGTTGTCCTTCCATTACTACCAGACCTGTGCTGGTTTCGTCTGTGAGGTTAAGGGCATATAAAGACTTTCACATGATATTAAAGCTGCGCTTGTGTGAACCAGTCTGACACAGAGAATTTCTGTTTCCTCCATATACTCGTACACTGTGAAACCACACTATTGTTTCTTTCCAAAGCTTGAAATGTTTGAAGTACTTGAGATTTCTCAAGGGCAACAGGAAAGAGCACCTTTAAAAATCCTCTTTTTGTACTACGTGAAAAAAAAAGAGAAGAGACTTAAAGCCTTCATCTCAAAGTGAATGGAGTGAAATAGACAATCGAGGTGTTCTGAAATGTAATTACTGGAAGTAAAAGCCCATGGCTTAATTTGAGTCAGAACCTACAAGAACAGGATCCAGCACCTCCCAGTGCTGTGCCATTGACTATTTGCTCTGGTTAGCCTTTTCTTGTAACCATGAAAGCGTATTTATATAACTGTTTGACGGCGGCCATTGCTTTTCTTTTTTCTTTACACTTTTCCGTCTGTCCTGCCCCCATACCACACCTAACTATGTTAGGGCAGGCTGATCGAGGGCATGGAAAGCAGATTAGTCCAGTCAGGGAAAGTATACATCCAGATATCATAAGCCTATTCTTCAGCGGCAAAGATACTGTATCTGCGCTTACCAGTGATCTGCTTTTCAATCTCTCCACTGGGGGTGTCTTTATCAGTAGCTTTGCTTTTGCGTGTTATCTTAAAAAAACAATAATCTAAATAGGGCTGGGCGATATGGCCAAAAATGTTATCACAATAAAAACATTTCATATCATTCGATATCGATATTTATCACGATATATGTCAAATCATTATTTATTTCAAGTTTAAAGGTTGATTTTTGTTCTTGAATGAAAATTGAAGAAAGCAGATGGTTAATTATGTGGTTAAACATTTCTTTATGGTCCGTGACAAACACTTGATGCCAAACAGTGGATCACTTCACAAATCTGAGGTAGAACATCCAAAACTATTATGATAAAATCTGTTTTCAACAAATATGATTAGTTAATCTTTTTTCAGGCCTCTTTTTCTCAACAAAATAAATATTTTTAATAGAAAAATTAAGTGCTAATTTGTTTGTTTTGTTTGTTTGTTTGCAAATTTTTATTGACGATATATTGAACATTTATTATATTGTTATTGAAGAAAATTATATTGCCATAATTATCATTATTGTTTTCGTGCCCAGCCCCAAATCTACCGTCTGTCAAGTAAGCGATTGTGGAACCATGGGCAGTAGGCCTGTTCTTTTGAAGTACTAATTTGTGACAGAGTTGTGTCCGTGGAAAAGGATAGTACCCCACTGTGTCAACACACTCCTGTTCCCTGACACTTAATTTGGTATTTAAGGTACTTTGAAAAGGCTGGCCCATAGCTAATTTGTTAATAGAAACAAAAAAAAATCTTAGGTAATTATGTTATGAAATGCTTATTTGCCTATTAAGCTACGTTTTTGCAGCTTCTAATGTATTGGAAACAGAACTGAA